CAGGCAGGGGTGAGGAGAGGCGGGGAGGAAGCAACTTACCCTTCCCTCTTCTCCTGCCTCCTCCTGGCTGAATGAGGGCCGGAAGCGGGGCGGCCGGAAGCAGGGGGCGGGGCTTCGTCATGTGCCCCACCCCCCATACCTCACCCGGGGGAACTGCGATCCCCCGCGTTCCCCCCCGAAATGACCTCTGATTTAAAGCCATCTTTGACAATTAAATCCACCAAAGTGCAACAGATTAAGATTTACAAAGCTCCCCCCTTTGAATTTAAATGTGATTAACAGCTGCAGCTAATTAAGTGCATTTGTTTTTCTTTGTTCTTCTGTCGTCTTAATCCCATTTTTAAAAGGTAATAAAATAGCAAGAAAATATCCAGTAATGATTAAATTGTTGTAGAAATGATTGAATTCTTAACTTCTAAGACAATGGCTATATTTTCTTACATGACGCAAAGGACTGTTCCAAATGTGTGTTTGGTGTATTTGGGAAATGTCTCTCTTCAGGCCGTGTAGGAAAGGAACGAATTAACTGCAAAATTGAGTATTATATTAAAATAGGTAAAGCAGCGACTGAAGTATCAACATAAGATCATGATATGGAATGAAATGGTAGGGACTAGAGGGACAACTTGTAACAGTCTGTTATGCTCTGTTTTGCTAGGAAAAACTGGCTAGTTCTTCATGGTCTCTGTTGGGCACTCTATTTGGACTCTTAACATATGCAGAGCAAAGTTTAGAACCTTCTAGTACTAAGCCAAAAGGAATGTGGAGGGCAGCTCAAGGAAGAAACATCAACAAGCATGCGTTGAGTGGCAGAGCCATGGCCTTTCTCATCTGTTCTTCTTCAGCCAGCTTGGCAGGCAGAATTTTGGGGATTTCTTTTTAAATCGTGAATTGAGCTATTTTTTCAGGGGGGGGGGTAGGATCCCTTTTCACCCATGAGATAAATAGATCGTATAGCATTCCACCTTTTAAAATACCTATAGACAACGAAAACTCATCCCCCATCGTCACCAGTATCAGCCAGCCTTGGAATGGTGCTTACTATCCTCTGTTCAAGCTGGGCCATTGAGTTTGCTTTGCTTATCTTCCCTCACAGCTCACTAAAAATTACCTTCCAAACTTATGTTGTCCTCTTGGACTTGCACCTTCCTGGGGAAAAGATACCATAAAGAACCCTTCTCTTCAAAGACTACATCATCTAGTACCATCCTAAAAAGGAATCGGAGTCTCTGTCCTGACCTGTATTCAAGATGTCAGTGCCTTCATCCATACTGGGAAATTGTGCATAATTATGTTCGCTGCCATCCTGCCCAGGCCTTTCGTTCACCTTAGTCAATTTCAAGGAACATCCATATAGCAGCTTGACTGCAGCATCACAGATTCTTCCATCTTGGTATAAGATTTCTGTTACCAGTACAATTTGCATCCTTTGGAACCAGTTTGGTGTAGTGATTAAGTGCGCGGACTCTAATCTGGGAGAATCGGGTTTGATTCCCCACTCCTCCACTCGCACCTGGCTGGATAATCTTGGGCAAGCTGTAGTTCTGATAAGAGCTGTTCTTGAAAAAGAGCAGTTTCTGTCAAGAGTTCTTTCAGCCCCACCTACCTCAGAGGGTGTCTGTTGTGGGGAAGGGAAGGGAAAGGAGTTTGTAAGCCGCTCTGAGACACCTTTGGGTAGTGAAGGGTGGGGTATAAATCCAATCTCTTCTTCTTCTTCTTTTGGGTATTCTACAGTCTCCGTAGTTTTCATGAGAGGCATGTTGATTACAGCCATGTACCTCCAACACCTGGGGGTATCAGTCTCCCCGTACATAGATGACTGGCTTGTTGTGGCAAATGCCTGTCCTCCATTAGTGTATGTCCATCACTCTGATTGCTTGCAGATCTGAAGTTTCATGCTGATGCTACCAAATTCTGTTCTTAGCTCACCTGCCACATACTGTTTATAGGAGTGGTCCTCAATTCACTTTGGCCCAGAGTTTTTCTGTCCTTTGGCATAGCATGCACCTTTAATCTACCCAGCTACTAGGTTGAGCTCCTGAGCCTGACAGATTGCTTATCAGGTCCAGCACCTTCTGGGTCTTATGGCTGCTACCACCTTTGTTGTCCTTTTGTGATATGTCAGTTGAGGGTTCTCCAGCATCTCCCATTGGTGAATAGAGTCCTTTCCCCCCATCAACACTTCATTCAACTGTTATAACCAGCACCTCTCTGTCTGGTGATGCTGATGACGTACTGTCATCATGACCGTCTCATGAATCTGCTGCCAGCATCAATGTATTGGAGCTTCCTGATAGCTTGCAAGGCCCTCACCTTAGATATCCATCTCCTACCTCTAAAGACTGTGTTCTGTGTTACAATAATGTATGTGAGGCACTAAATACCTATTTTTGTACTTGAACCAGAACAAGGCTGTTCTGTGTGCTGGTGTTATTTTTCTGCCTGCAGCTTTTATTTTAACCAGTAATTAGTTTTGCATTCTCTATATTAGACTTCATTAAAAAGTTACATTTCAGAAAGGACCTCAGACTTCTTTCTTCCTGTGGAGGGATGCACAAAGGAGTCATAAGAACATAAGAGAAGCCAATGTTGGATCAGGCCAATGGCCCATCTAGTCCAACACTCTGTCACAGTGGCCAAAAATACCAGGTGCCATCTGGAGGTCCACCAGTGGGGCCAGGACACTAGAAGCCCTCCCACTGTTGCCCCCCCCCCAACCAGGCACCAAGAATACAGTGCATCATTTGCCCCAGACTGAGAGTTCATATCTATACCTTGTGGCTAATAGCCACTGATGGACTTCTACTCCATATGCTTATCTAATTCCCTCTTGAAGCTGTCCGTGCTTTTAGCTGCCGCCACCTCCTGTGGCAGTGAATTCCATGTGTTAATCACTCTTTGGGTGAAGAAGTACTTCCTTTTATCTGTCCTAACCTGACTGCTCAGCAATTTCATTTGAGTGCCCACGAGTTCTTGTATTGTGAGAGAGGGAGAAAAGTACTTTCTCGACCTGCTCTATCCCATGCATAATCTTATAAACCTCAGTCATGTCACCCCCTCAGCCGTCATTTCTCCAAGCTAAAGAGCCCCAAGTGTTTTAACCTTTCTTCATAGGGAAAGTGTTCCAACCCTTTTATCATTCTAGTTGCCCCATTCAGAATCGCTTCTTTGCGTGCTGGCTATAATATCCTTTCTTGAGGTGTGGTCCCCCCTCCTGCCCGAGTTTCACTGGATAATATCTCTCATTAGGCTTTATTATAAGTTGGCCCATCATCTACTCCCCATTTCTGTTTGGGCTCACTCTACAACAGTAGTTGCTTTGACTGAAGCATCTCTTTACCTGATCAAGATGGGTAGCCAAGTTCGTTTATCTGTAGCAGTAGAAAAGAGCAAGAGGCCAGCGGCACCCTAAAGATTAACGAAATTTGTGGCAGAGTATGCGCTTTCCTTTCGTGAGTCACTGCTCACTTCTTCAGATACAGCTAGATATGTGTCAGATACAGTTGTATCTGAAGAAGCGAGCAGTGACTCACGAAAGGAAACCTCCTACCCTGCCACAAATTTTGTTTTAAGGTGCTGCCGACCTCTTGCTCTTTACCTGATGTATAATTTAGCCGCTTGGTCTTTTGTCAAGAACCGTGTCATTGATGTCCAGGTAAGAGTGAATGCCGTATTTGGTGCTCAGCTCTCTGTTTTCCTAGTCTCCTTAGTTCCCACTGCTTACGTGTAACTGAAAAGCTTTAAATAATCATCTGTGCGGTCACATACCCCCTCCTTCTTCCACACTACAGTTTTATTGGGCCTGTTCTGTCGATCGAGGGAGGAACCGAGCTGGAAGGCTTGTGCGTTGCTGCCCCTTCCCTCAAGTTGGCCAGGGCTAGCCTCCTGGTTCCTTTTAGCTTGGCTCTAAAAAGTTCTGAACTTTGCTTGGCGCAGAGTCCCAGGAGTGTGACTGCACAGAGGACCGCTAAAAGAGCACCACTTACAGGTCAGGAGCGTGCTCCTTGCCGAAAGCACTGAGATGGATGCGGAATGGCTTCCGTGACCGATGGAAGTTCATCTTCTGTGCTGCTAACATCCGTTTGATAAGCCCTTCCAGTTGAGCTCTGTAAGCATGAAACAGACTCAATTCTCCTTTTTTGCAAGATGGCTAACATTCTCTTATGCTGTAGTCTCTGTACATTTGTAGCACTTGCGGGTGCCTTTCAGGTCCTGCTGGTTTTTAAAATGTGTTTTGCTACTTTGCCTATGAAATAACTTTTTTTCTTTGATGACTTTCCAGTACCTTCTCCCAGTAAGTTCCGGTCTCCAGCAGCACCATCTCCTCTGGCTCTGAGGCAGCCAGTCAAGGCGTTTAGCAACCACGGACCTAGTTCTGCTGTTCCAGAAGCCACCCAGCTAACACACAGCAGCTCTTCACCAGGGCCTTTAGCAGCTTCCAGTTCAGTCTCTCCAAGCCCAGTCAACAGCATCAACAGTGCTACGCTTACAAGACCTGCAGGGACGACAGGGATGAGAAGTGGTTTGCCAAGACCCAGTGCCCCCTCCCCTGGGGGCATACCAGTGCCTCGCAGCAAACTCGCACAGCCTATTCGCAGGTTAGTCTGGTGTGCTGAGCTGATTTTTTTTTCCTCGTCAGAGAAGCAGTCTTTCAAGAGAAGCGTGTGAGTGTCTGAGCTCTAGTATTGTATGTTAGCCTACACTCCTCTCCCCCCCACTTCTTTAAAGCGTACAGGGTTGATCCAATCAGCTTTTTCCGTTGGAAGGAGTCCTCTTTGGTGCTTGGGGGGGCCAACAGTGGGAGGGCTCCTAGTGTCCTGGCCCCTCTGGTGGACCTCCT